TGCAAATTGAGTAATATTAATTATAATAGGAATTACTGAAATTTGTATTTAGGGTTTTTTCACTGTCAGTCAGTTTCATGTCAATGTAAGTGCACAGGCTTGTGCTTTTATATATTTTTATATTTGTATATGAAAAATACATTAATGTCCTAGACATTATACATTTACTTGCATTTTTCTGTTTTGTAGTGCTATTTTACTCTTACCCACACATTCCACGTGTAATCCGTATTACACGTGGAATGTGTTTACTAGTTTACTAGTTTATGTCTTATTTTCTACATACTGAGAAAGCATAATTGTCTTAAAGATAAAATCTTGAACTCAAGCATAAAAACTATTGTCATTGTTTCAGATGTCTGGGTTGTTGTTTTCATCTTCATTTAAATCATCATTTGAAGTCTAAACAATTTGAATTTAAAACCCACGATTCCATGAATGAAAAGCACAAAATATAACTCGACCGGCATATTGGCCAATTTTTAGCTATTTGCCAATGAATCTGTATCAGGATCATTAAGAGATGACGAATAAAAATTAAGAAAGTAAAGGAGAGACAGGAGAAGCACACTCTGACCCCATTATGAGTGTTGATGTTGTTTAGTTTGTCCTCCAAGTAGTGAAGCAGAGGCAGTGAAGGTGCATGACTTTAAATGGCAGGGGTCAACCACAGTGCACAAGAGAGGTGAAGAAGACAGCCAGGGTACAGGGGTTAAAAATCAGTGTGAGTGGTTATTTGTTGACAGAAGGATGGCAATGGCAGTGATGACTTTATTTATATATCAGATTTTGTTATACTTAAACTACTTATACTTAAACCCACCTCTTAATACAGAAGATAAAAACATAAACGCATAAGTAGGTTTACAGTGTATTAAGGATAGCCGCAAGAGTGAAAGGGACGGTTTAGTGAGACCTGCTGTGATGTTTGGTACAGAGACACTGCTGCTGACAAAAAGACTGGTGGCCAAGCTGGAGGTGGAAGAGCTGAAGATATTAAGATTTTCATTGGGAGTGACCAAGATGGACAAGATTAGAAATGAGTGTATCAGAGGGACAGTTCAGTTGGAGCAATTTGGAGACAGACAGGCAAGGTTGAGATGGTTCCAACCTGGGAAAAGGACGGATAGTGGATATATCAAAGAAAGCATGTTGAAGATGGAACAGGAGGACATGCAGAGGGTTGGTGTCAGAGAGGATGCTAGGAATAGGGCAGGTTGGAGCCAGATGATCCGCTGTGGCGACACCTAAAGAAGAAGCAGAAAAAGAAGTTAACACTTCCTGAATCAGAAGAATCCAAGCTGAAGTACAGTAGGTTCCTGAAATTATCCAACAAGGCCTTCATCTGTCTATCCATCCATTCTCTTTCACTTATCCGATTCAGGGTTATTGGGGGGCTGGAGCCTATCCTAGCTACCACAGGGTGAGAGCTGGGGTACACCCTAAGCAGGTCTGCCATAGTGTTTAATTGTGAATTTATCTTTATTTGAAATCCACACACATTTTCCGGAATCACACTGACACATTAAAAATCTGCAACAGATCAATTATTCTGTTAGCTCTGACTTGAACAAGTGAATTGTCAGGATAAATACTTCCGCATGCTGTATAAAAACATCAAAAAATAATGGAACTCGGCAGAAACACCAGTACAGCTTGTGTTGAGTGTGTCGCCCTCTTCTGGTTGACACTGTGAATTGCCTGTAGCCCTGACATTGTGATGGCTGAGAAACTGAGTAAGGTCATGAATTGGACACAATGCCAAACACTCCTTCTCCCATTGGAAGAGCAGATGGCAGCTCCCCAGTGCACAAGGCAGGGAGATGCCACCACCAGACGCTCAAGGGTGTAGAAGCACACACGAGCACAAGCGCATTAACATTCTTGGTATTCATGCATTTGTGTGCGCACCAGTAGTATACACTCGGAGCACCGAACGCACACACGCGGACTCGTGTCTAGGACCCAGCTAACAGAGGCTTGACCTAAATTCCTTAATTTCCAATGTCTGAGGGTTGAATTGTCTCTTCGCCTTTCTGTCACGCAGTGAAGTAAAGTTGTGGCAGGTTTGCATCATAAGCACTCACATCACTGGTTATATGTCACATATATACATTATCTGCCAAGCTTTATTTTGTTTAATGACAGTCATAGTAACATGCAGTGTCTACCAGTCCCATTGAGTCATGATGGTGAACTCAAGGCACCACGTTACCCAACGTTTCCATGTAAATCTAACTATAATATCTACTTTTCCACTGTAGCACAGAATGAACTATAGCTTGAACTTGAATGATTAATGTCATTATAAAGTATAAGCCTCTGTGACATGCACTGGTAAGCATCCCTATTTAAACCAAGCCTTCTAATAATAAACACTTCATTAGCACTTTTGTTAAATACGGATGCACTGCAATGATCGTCTGCTCAAAACATACAGGAAATGTCAATTAGCAGACAAATTTGCTGTGTGTATTTCACCGCATATCCTCGATTAGAGTGCTTGAGATCCTGGGCATTTAGGCACACAGATTTGTCACGTTGCCTCCAATACATAATAATAATGCGGCTATCAGTGTCAGTTTGAGCCATATTGGTTGACACACTGAGGAGGGTATGCTAAGCTTAGCTGAGTGGCATGTCACGGCAGGATATGAGTTAGCTAATGTGGTGTAAAAGGATTTAGAGGATTTGACCCTATCAGCGGAGATGGCACTCAGAAAGGCTCTGTTAATGACACTAAATGAGTCTGTGCCTGGAGCATGCTAATAATGGTGGAAATAAAACCAGTTCATAATTTATATGGAGATTTTTTTTGTTGCAATTTCTTTTTGGCAAATAGTTAATTGCAAAAAGTGTGTCAACGTGGTGCATACTTTTAAAGGTGAAGTAACACCAAATGTTTCGGTGCCTTCTCTGAAACAATGAATTGTAATCAACTCAAATTGCCCTTCAAATGAGGTGTAATTTTTAGGTGAGCTGCTTTGTCATCACTTATTGCCTGTCTCACACTGCACTGTGCCATTATCTGATTTTTATGCATGTTTGTAGCTCTCCTAAGGTGATAATAGAGATTTATAGCAAATATCTCCTCGCCATTTCTCCAAAGAAACTGTCTGATTGATAGAAACTATGACAGAGAAGAAGAAATGTCTGTTTCTGGTCTGGTGGTTGATTTCCAATTTGACTTTCAAATTTTATGAATAGGGAAGTGGTATAAAAAGCCATTAACTGCTAGGCTGACAATTCACATTAGCTTTCTCAATATGGAAACTGTGAATGATGAAAATTAAAGAGCAATGTTATTTTGACGATTGTTTTTTATGGAATGTGAGTACCTGACTAAAATTCAAATGAGGGAGTGATGGTTTTTATCTGGCCCGAACCCAAAACCTCCGTAGCAAACAGCAGTCTGCGTTTGTGCAGAGCGACTGTAAGTTAATACATTTTCAGGGAACTGTTGTTGTCCTGCAGAGCTGACTTTGTCTGAAAGTAATTAAGATTAAATGTGCTGTGCTGAATATAAGATTAAGTTTTAACAGTATTATTAGTTTTCCTTGCATCTGCTTCGGAGGTAGTCTCTAACATTAAGACATCCATATTTTATCCCAGTTTACCTCCAGTTTACAGCGTGATATCATAATATACTAACAGTATTTATTGAAAATGGCAATTAATTCAGTAGAAATGTACGTGTTTATTAGCTGTCTGCCAAAATGTACAAAGAATTATTCCAGTTATTAATTCACTCGACTGCACCAGCAGAGATAAGGAAGCAGCATGCTTTAAAAAGCTGAAATGTAATGTACTTACAGATGTATTTACAGATGCTCGGTGGGCTTGTTTACTATTCTTTTGGCTTAAAAAGTTAGCAGAAATTGAGTAGTAATAATTACACTATTCAGCTATTAATAACTACATATCCACACAGGATAACAAGCCTAATACCTGTCACTATCACCTTTGCATGATATCCCTCCATTATAATCGTTCATGGTCCATGACGAGAAGCGCCATTCTTGCTGCCCTGCCGGGCAGGGCATTGGCACAGCTTGACTAGGAGGACAAGAAGTTGTAGCTGCCAACTCCTGCCGCCCACCGCCCACTGGTCAAATCCTCTTTTACTGGTTTCACTATGACACTCTGCCCGCCATCCTTGGCTCACCATGCAAAGCTAGGACAGGAGCTTCATCACTCATGCCAGGGATACCCACTGGAGGTGGGAAGTGGAGAGAGAAGTGACAGTGGAAGAGGAGAGGGAAAGAGAAACAGATGGAATAAGAGAGAATGATACAAGCTGAAAGAAAGGGCTTTTACAGAGATTTGGCCATTGTGTATCACAACTTACCTGGAGGAGATACAGTGAGTCAGCCAGAGACAGCAGGTAGTGTTGTTAACTATAATTTTTTTAACTGCCTTAAGTGTGTAATATTATGTTTTGGATTTTTTTATTATTATTATTAAAGGAAAGGCCACAAAATCAAATCTTCTCATGTGTGCATTTGTTTGTGGGTACTCATGAAAGGAAATGTTTGTGCAATGATGATTGACCTTTTTTTTCTGAATGTGATTAGGCAGAAAAAGGAGATATTTGTTCGCTGGCAGCTGCAAAGACCCACATAAATGCAGAGGCGTCTCGAGGAACTCAGCGCTGTCAGCAGTTTTTCTCCTACTGATAATCTATGCCCTGACCCACAAGCTACTGCGCGCCTTTGTTTAACATGTTGTTTTTCTATCCATTTCTAGCATTTTAACACAGATGTTCACTGTGGGAGACAGTGGGAAGCTGGCTCATTCACTGTACAGACAAAAAAATGCCTTCCAGCTACTCTGTTTTAGTCTGGTTTAGCACAGAAGTGGGCGTATTTGTGTGGCCAAGCTGATATGGATGGTTGAGTTTGAGTGTTTGTGTTATGTGTTTTGTATAGTGCTGTATTAATCAGCTCTTAAACCTTTTTCCTTCTGTCTTTTTTGTTGGGTTGTTTGTCTCTCTTTTTTAGGAAATATCTTCAAAAGAATCTCTCTTCTGGCCTGGAGGTCTTCTAGAGGGTTGGACCTCCTCGCCATCATGAAAGGCTTAGGGACCAACCGCAGCAGACACCTGTCTGATTCCTGCGACACTTCTGCAGACCATTCAGAGGCCCTCTTTTCTCATAAGACCACCACACTTCCTCGCAGCCCTTACTTGCTGAGTCCCACAATGGACCACTATGGCACCATGGACCCCCACCTTTACTCTTCAGCCAACCCAAGCTCCCTTCCACCAGAATGCATGCTGCCCCTCAACAACCAGCTGTCCAACAGCAGCACCTTTCCTGGGATTCACTACAACTCCTATGACCAGTCTGATTTTTCTCCTCCTGGGGACAGTATCGGAGGAATAAGCACAGGGACCATGGGGACCTCCATGTCCATGGGCATGGGCATGGGGACGGGAATGGGCATGGGCATGGCAGGGCTGAGCGCACGAACACCTATGATTACAAGTGGCTCAGCAACAATATCACATCATATGACCAAGAACCAGACCCCACCAAGTCTGCTTGAGTTTGATAAACAGTTACCTGGCGGCCGTGATGGATTCAGCACATTGCAGTTTCACCGAACATCTGCTGCTGCTGCTGCCAAGCAGCGTACGGACAGTCCTGGTCGTATTCGTTACATGCTGCACTCAGTGCAGAAGCTCTTTGCGAAGTCGCAGTCCCTGGAGAGCCACAACATGAAAGGAAATGTTAACGGACGGTCGACCGGCAGTGGAGGAGGTTCATCTAGTACGGAGGATGGAGGGAAGCACAATCGCAGAGCCAAAAGTAAAGATCGGGGTACAAAATCAGAAGCAACTGCCAAGCGACGGCCACGCTCCAACATGTCGGGTTACTGGAGCTCGGACGATCTGGACAGCAGCGATTTGAGCAGCTACCACAACACCATGGCCATGATGACTCTCGGGCGTCCATCTGGCCCCGACAGCCACGGGGGGCAGAACAGATACATCCACAGTGGCTACAACACTATCAGCTCATCTAAAAGCAGCAGTGACTTAAAGTATCAGGCACTTCCTGGGCCAGGGGGTGGAGGAGGTGGTGGATTAAGTGGACTAGGTGGATTAAGTGGACCAGGAGGTTTGATGATGAATGATAGTGACTATATGAAAGGAGGGTCATGGTCCACATTAACCATGGGTCAACCAAGACAGGTTATTCAGAAGGGCTCAGCTACACTGGACAGGTCCATGCTCAAATCCAAGTCCTGTCAACAAGAACTAACCTGCAACTACCTACAGGTTGGAAGAAGGGTGAGTAGCCCACAAAGTAGAGTGGATAAAAAATTATATTCTGTCTATTTGTTGAGTGTTTACTGTATGTTTATATAAGCTATTACCATCAAGGGAAACACTTCAGTGCTTAGATAACAACATAGATCGTTAAAAACTGACTGAAGACTCATTTTGTTCACTTAATGGTGGCTATAGGGTGACTGGAGCAGCTCATTAGGTCGCAGCGGGGGTGCCAATGAAATCCCATGCCGGCGGATGCGGAGTGGTAGCTATGTGAAGGCAATGGGAGACATGGAAGACAGCGATGACTCTGAGGGAAGTCCCAAACCCTCACCAAAAACTGCTGCTCGGCGTCAGAGCTACCTCAGGGCTACCCAGCAGTCTCTGAGTGACCAGTTTCCCCCACGCAAGTAAGGGCACAAACTGAACTATGGTTTATTACACATTAGCATAAACAATAAGGGAGAAACCCTTTACATACAAACAAGGATCAAAGAAGAAGAAAGCGTATGGTTACCATTCATGAGAACAACTAGAAACCATGTCTGTTTCTACAGTCATGATAAGCTGAGAAAAATACAACATGTTGTTTTTAATGCATGACTATAGTCAGAAGAAAAGTTACTGATTGGCCCTTTAAAATGTATGTAGCCCCCCCCCCCCAAAAAAAATCTGCTGATTTTCAGAGAACGCCCAAAACACTTATTAGAACACACTGTTATAAATACTGATTGGCAAAAGCTCTTAACAATCAAACAACAGTAAAAAAAAAAAAAATCTATGGATACATACTGAAGCCCAGCCTCAGAACAGACACACACACACAAGTGCACACGTGTACACACAGTCCACGCTGCGCTTACTCACGCATAGAAGTGGTGTCAGACTCCCTGCTGCTGTCCACATGTCACTCTTACTATCATACCTCAGCTGTGATTTACCTACATACTATTGGCCATAGAAAGCGTCACTAAGATAATACGCTATACAATAGTGCAGTTTACACAATACGACACTGAGTTTTGCTTGCGTTCAGCCAGTAAATCAGCACAAATCAGCCCAATCGCTTTGACTAAGTGGGACTGTGGCTCACTTGCCTCTGAGTGACATGGTTTCTGGAGCAAAGCATTGCACAATGTGTGATGCAAGCACAGTGGGACATTGCTAATTGACTGTGCCTTTTCATGCAAGGCCAGAAAATATAGTCATATTGTTTCATTTTTATCCACAGCGATGTTACACTAATTTAAGCCACAGCTGTCATGCTTTCTAATGTATAATCAACTTTTCAAATATTGACTTGTTAGAGAAATGTATGAAATTTTAATACCCCGCGATAACATCTTTTCCCCCAGATTATCATGCTTTGACAAACTTTAGTGTATTTTGGGCTTGTTTTTGTCAGTGTCTATTACATTCATATACATACATGACACAAACCTTGATGCAATAATGTGTTGTATAGTTTCCTTTTGAGGTATCTTATGATTCTGGTTGGATCAGAGGCAGGTTGGGGGGGGGGGGGTGTTGATAATCATGGGCACAGCTTACCTACCAAACACACCGAGCAATTTAAAAATCTAGAATTACGCTTGAATGACTTACCCTAATACCCCCCTGCTAATTCCTGATCGTCCAACCCTACTTTCTTCCGTTCTGCGCCTACCTGATTGGCGTGAGCAGCAGAACCCTGGAATACACCTTTTTGCAAGGGGAGCTAGATGCCCTGTGGTCTCCACTCCACAGTGTGTCCTCTCTGCACCAGCTGGGCAGGTCAATGAGCAGGTTAGTGATAGGTCTGCAAGCCACTTCTCAGGGGCGCGGTGCAGAACACTTCAGATCGGATTGGTCTATGATCAGTGACTTTGCACTGCCCCCCTCAGATGTCTGAAAGTGGAAACTCCAAATGCAAAAATTCATGTCCTGCTGCCAACAACTGCTAACCTCCCGTAAGCTTGTAAATACCATCTGTCCAGTGCTTTTAGGTGGAAAGTAGCTTCAACACTATTCAAATTAGGGAATGAGGGGGACATCTGTGTCCATACACTTTGCCATGGCATTTTACTGCCATGTCACTATCACTGTGTGCCAACAAAGAACATGTATAACATACTATTTTTAGCTTAATAAAAACCTAAACATGTTTTGTCTTGGCACCATGATGGCATAGAACGCTGTGCACTGTACATGCCTCGCCTGACATCATTGGCTTTGCATGCTGGGATGCTAAAATGACTAATGCTAAAATTAGATGAAACAGAGATGAGATTTGGAGCATCAAAGTGGGAATTAAAGGGATGACTTCAATAATAAACTTGTCCTCCTTTTATCTCTCTTTCAATTTCTGGTTTTGCTGGTCACTCATTTTCTCCCTTGATCAACGTTTTCCCTTCTGCCTCTCTGTCATCGTGCATTAGCAACAGCATATCCTGTTTACAATCATTTTCCATCCGTTTTTCTACTTAGACTTCATATCCCTAAAGGATATCTTTTGGTTACTTCCCTTCCCAGCTGTCTTCCAGCTCTCAGAGAGTTCTCCAATAATCGCAGCCTAGACAACCTAGACTGTATTGGGAGTATAGGCTCATCTTTGCCACCATGGGACGACGATGACTTCAGCCAGGCTTGCAGTACCTTGGGCAGGCGCATGGGACAGGTCAGTGTTTTCCTGGAAGACTGACAGGGAAAATGTGGCGTCTCTTATCTTTCAGAGGTTAAAAAAATGTTTTCCATTTCTGCCTGTGTCTCATTTGCTTCCATTATCTTCCTAATGAGTTCCGAGTGCATTTGTTCTCGATCATAATTTACATCATTTGGCTCCTGGCAAACTTTCTACTCTCACATCACCAGTCAAAGACCCTTTTGTCTGCCTCGAGCTACACTCGTTTATTTAGTATAATTTACATTTTCACAGATACAGCCCGAACGGCTGTAATAAAACGAGCTCCCAGCGAACAAAGATTCCCTATTTTCTGACTGCATCTCACTGATAGTTTAAATTTCCAGTTCGTCCACTTACATAAGAACTATTAGCCTCCCAATGTCAAGGTCGGTGAGATGATGAACAACTGTGCAGCGTGGCTCTGATCTTCCTCAGTGAAATGAGGCAGTGCAGGCTATTAGTACAGGATTTACAGCCAATCTCCGACAGCTCACTCACTGCATTACAACACATTCGCCCAGTATATCAATTTAGGGATTGAACTTACATGCACAGTAGCGAGCCATGCAAATTCGTTATGCATTATATTTTTAACTTAGTGATGGACTTTTTCCAGAGCAGAAAAATTCAAATTACCTGAAACATTTACATGATTGTGCCAATGTGTGCTGACACTCACCTTTAGAAAAGTCAGAGCAAAAGATGAATTTATATGAGCATTGAGTCACTACATGAAAAAAGTCACATCTGTTGCCTTATTGTTTGTTTGTTTTTGTTTGTTTCTTTATTTTTAGCATTATTGTTGTACAGTTTTATGTGAGGAAAAAAATTTAAATAACGGTGCAGATCACTAGAAGAAAAAATGACTTTAATGCATACAAATGTAGCCTATAAAGTAAATCAGTCTAATATATCATTATTGGACATCATAAAAATGCATTTATAGCAAATTCGACATACCCTTAACCATACACACATTTGCACAAGTGCACACATTTGGTGGTTTTACTGCACATCCAGAGGCTACTCCTAGCAGCTACTCTCAAGGCAGCCGCCTTGAGTGCGAGGAGCAGCTTCAGTGAACAAAATAACTACTGCTACATCTTCTTTTGTTTTGTTTTTCCTTCACTCTAGCTACGAGACCTAGAAAGGAGCCATCATTATGAAGACCGCAGCTCAGATTCTACATTTAGAGATTCCCGTTCCCATTCTCAGGACAACTCAGAGCCTCCAGACCTACCCATGCCAACGTGCTTCCGATCCCGCAGCCACAGCTACCTGAGAGCCATCCAGGCTGGCTGTTCCCAAGACGACGAAGTTGCATCCATTGACTCGGGCTGCTCTCCGCCTCCCATTGACACCACGGTTCGCACCTACAGCACCAGCACTGGTAAGTCCCAGACTGAAAAACTGATGGTAAATTGCAGATTTTTTATAAAACGATATAGGAAGAGTCATTGCCACAAATCACAGTAATGTGTTCCCAAACTGATAAAACCATTTTCTTTCACTCCTTTTCAAGTGTGACACAATCACATGAGCCCAAATTCTTTGCTTTGCTTTGTGTTTTCCATGGTAGTAGTTTGAATGTTCATTATAACCTTGGTCTTTGGCGGGCAACTGATCCTCCAGCATGCACGCAGCGTTACATGCAGCTCAAATGCAGCCTTTTTTGCCCATGCTAGACGAACTTTCTGGACAATGGAAGACATGGAAAGAACAGTTTGGCTCTTACCTGAGAGCCACAGGCTTGGACAAAGAACCAAAGGAGAAACAACTTGCAATTTTTCTTCAGCGTTTTGGGACAGACAGACCACACATCCTACCCCCACGCACAGGTAACAACGTGAAACCAACCCCTTTCCCCCCTAAAATCATTCTATCCATTTACCACTTCATGAACTACAAAGAAAAATAAATAAATGAAATGTTTATCAGTACAAATATAAAGTTGTCAAACTGCTGGACAGAGACTAGATTAAAATCATACTCTAAGTATACATTACTGTGTAACTTGTCATTACAGGACATGGTAGCACAAGAAGACAGTGAGCAGTTTGTTTGCTAACCTAACTTTTAATTTCACAGGAATGTTTTACTGGTTGTTGACATCTCAGTGGCCCCTGATGCATATTCCTAGGCTATGGGTTACTATTAAAAAACAAACAAACGAACAAACAAACAAAAACATCCACTTTGTGGCGCTCTTCACACAGTGTGTAGGTCACAGACCACATGCTGCTTTCATGGTAATGAAACTTTTCAGTGCTACTTGGGGATTATTCTGTAGCTTCAGTCTACATATTTTAACCAAGGATTTGTTTTTTGTTTTTTTAATTAAACGTGTTTACTTGTGCATAAACACAATAGGAAAAATTAGCTTGTCTGTTGTTTTGTTTTTCAAAAAATATTGCATTAAAACTTACAAAAATTAAAATTACATTTGAGAAATTAAATCCAATTTAATTTCTGATTATCAGAGTTTAGAGTGTAGACATCAGATAGAGTTGCTTTTTTTGTTGTATAAGAAGCAATCAGATATTTTTCTTAAAAGGGTCTTTGTTGCAGTTATACTAATACTTAATTTACTTGTGCAAAATTTAAGGCATTATGAATATGGTTGTGTAAAGTATATTTAATGTCGTAAAGTGTCTAGAATTGCATTTTAGAGCAGTGGAACAGAATTAAAACTAACACTTTCATTGGCAGCAAGCCTGTGATCTTGCAAAACTTTACAGTTAGAAAAAGAAAATTTCATTTTAGATCTAATTTTATTTCAGTTGTTGTTATCCTTACTGTATTTTTTATGTCTGAATTTTAAAAAAAAAAGTTGTAGGACCTTGCCGATGCTATTATTAGCATTAAAAAAAATGGGGGAAAAAGAAAGAAAAGAAAAAAGCTTTTGGTCTTCTGACGGTGGTGATAGAATGTCCGAGGTGCTCCTGAAGGCATCAAGTAGAGCTGCCACCACGCCTCCCTGGAGCTCAGAGAGACGCTCCAAACAAAAGGCAACAAAACCCGACTTTTCGTTTCCACAGGCGTGACAGGTAGTGCGTGTCGACAGCTGTCATTGAAACAATCTAAGTCTTTACTCAAGACACTTCGTGTGTGTTTTTGACTGCGCTGTGAGAACAGGGTAAGTAAACTAACCGTTCTCAGCTTACTGTTTACACGTTATCATCAATTAAGCTCAAGTTTGGTGTCCCGGCTTGTTCGGTGACAGGATGACGTTTAGCTGTTGCCCACGGAAACGGACGTATGCTTTGTGGTGTTAGGACGATAATTGAGCATTCCCGTTGATAGTTTGTGCTGGTGTTTCTGAGCATAAGTCTAAGTGGACGGCTAGATGTATTCACTTGTCTTCATTAAAATTGGCCTGCACAGGGGGATTTTTTAAGGGCTGCCCCAATATTCGCCCAAATGTTGGTTTAGAGCCCTTTTCAGGTTACATTTAAGGTTCTGCAGTTTTGTAACTGTGAAAAATCTGTCTGTGTCCTGATGATGGTTTCGATGACAAGGGAGTGGTGGTCATGGTTACAGGTAGTGTTGTGTGTTTCTTGTGATGTTAATGGATTAAACTGTACATAATCCATACTTTGCTGATAAACCCAGCATCACAGTTCACCTCATGCTGTTTCTGAACCATCAGTGTCACTTGAACCAGTTGTTGTTACTGATCCAGTGTTTATATTGGTTTTGGCTGAGCTGGAGCTGTCATCCACTATGTTCAGTTTTTCCAGTCTTTATTGAGAATGTGGTTGTGTCCTGGTTTATTAAATAAGCATTTTGGGATGAAGATTAGTGTGTTCTTTAGTAAAGTTGTGTACCCTTTAACATGATGGATTATATGCTGGATTATAGCTGGTGTGCTGGTATCTTAAGGCTTTGGTTTTTACCTTGTTGTGTGCTTAATTATTTAATTACTATTGCAATATTCTCCCTGAGGGGGAACTTTAACTCACTCAAGCTTCTAAAACGAATTGATCAAATGTTCCAAACCCGATGTTGGGAAAAGCCCTTCAAACAGTGGTAGCTTTGTGGGAACTACCAAATAGTAAAAAGCTATTTAGAGAAAGGAGATTGCTGTTTGTCCTGTAGCACATGTCCCATTTTTCTTTTCTCTCAGTTTGGGATTTATTCTTTATTCTTTAGTTAAGGTTTAATAAATTGGGATGGTTTTTAAAACTGATTTATATCCTCCTAAAACCTCAGCAATTCTTTTTTTGTCCTCTGTTAGGGATATGAGTCTAAGACCTCTACATCAAGTACCATGAATGCAATCTATACGAGTCCTACTTTACTGTCAAGATGACATCCTGGTCTTTCTATTGATCCCAATTTGTTCTCTGTCAATTAAATTTCAATCATACTGAAAACTGGTTGAAATAATTTTTTTGGATGAAACATGAAAACGGGACAATACTGACTGAGACCACCAAAGAGGTGGTCCTCAAGCTACATCAAGCTGAAAATGGGCAACCAGGTGTTTTTAAATAAATAAATGTCAAAGCACACAAACCACCTGCAAAGGTTTATCTCTGAAGGTAGCATTAAAACCAAACATTAAAAACACCAGCTTAAATCATTCTTCAGCATATCTGTGTTCACAGCATGACTCAGATAACCTATGCTCTAAATTTACTGGCTCCTAGTTATAGATCGAGACAGATTCTTCAAGCTTACTCACTCCAGAGTAAAACTTGATCTTCATGCCTCAGATAAGGACGGAAAGAATAAAGCCTTCTGAAAGGTAATGTAACAAGGCTGCCTCATTCTGCTGATGCAATAGAAATTTCCTTCACAGGCCAGTGTCTTGTGCGGCAGAGCCCTACTTTTTACAGAAATTCTTATCCATACAGTGGGGGAAATAATTATTTGATCCAGTACTGAATTTGTAAGTTAGCTCGCTTCCAAAGAAAGGAGCAGTCTCAAATTTTTATGGTAGTTTTATTTTTAAAGGAGAGAGACAGAATATCAACCAAAAATCCAGAAAAAAAACACATCAAATAAAAGTTACAAACATGTCGTTGAATGAAACAAGTATTTGTTCGCCTACAACGCAGCCACAATTCTGGCTCCCAAAATTTCTCTATATGCTCACGTGACAAACAATTTACAGTATATTACAGATACTACTAATCTCAACTTGTTTTGTGTACAAAGCACTTCTGTCAACAGAATCAATTTCTTCCATTCCAACCTTTCCGCCAAAGTGGGAAAGACTAAAGAGGTGTCAGAGTATGTCACGGGAACGCAAGACCATCAACAATGATGAGAACGTGACAACTGCTCGTGCGATTATTCAGAACTGGAAGAAATATAAAATCGGTCACAATCATGCAAAATTTTTCCTCGTAGGGTGAAGATGATTATGAGAAAGATGGTGGATCAGCCGAAAAACACATGAGAGGAGCTTGTTAGTGATCTGAAGATAGTTAGGACCTCAGTCACCAAGAACACCATCGCTAACGCACTATACTACATAGGAATGTGGTACTATAAGTTTCTCCTGCTCAAGAAGTTTGACAGTGAACATCGAAATAATTCAGTGAAAATTTGGCAGAAAGTGCTGTGGTCAGATGAAACTAAAATCGAGCTCTTTGGCACCAACTTGACCCGTCGTGTTTGAAGGACAAGAAATGCTGAGTGCGATCCAACGAACACCATCCCCGCAGTCAAGCACTGAGATGGAAACATCGTTTAGAGCTATTTTTCTCTTAAGGGTACAGGATAACTTCACCGCACTGGTGGTTGAGAAAACTGCCATAACTAATAGAGACTGTTAACCTCATTGTAAGTGAGCAAACCTACAAATTGAGCAGCAGATGAAATAATTATTTCCCACAACGCTATTGTGTCTCAATTGAAGATTAATCTAATTTTTTTTTAACAACAACAACAATTGATGCAGCATGTTGCTTTCAACCATAATGCTGAAATTATCTAAAAAAAATCTAGATATCAAAACATTTTTTCAGCAATCTGCTTTTTTTCTCTCTCTCCTTTGTTAATTTTTTTACTCCAAAGACCAACTATATGTTTTTAATTCAGTGCATCCCTGTTGAGGGTTATTTTGTGTAACTAAAAGGCAGCAGTTTTTGGCTTCATGTCTGTTTTGTAGCTCTTTTCTGCAGTTCTGAACAAAAGCTTAGGGTTAGAAAGAGCTGGCTGCACTTTTGTTATACAATTTTAAAATAAGATGTTTCTGTTTCCACAGCTGTGTATGCCTGTGTGGCTGAAATCTTTAACCTAAGCAAGTACAGGAGACAGTCTGATGAGAGAATGTGCTACTTGCTGTTCCTCTGTTGTTAATGCGTTTCTGCACTGCACTCTTTCTGATAGCAACAGGCTTTCTACATCTGTTTTCTGTGCTATCATACAGTTGACTTTTTACACTTTGCTCATTAAGCTGTATGAACAACAGTGGATTGTGTGGGTAAACTCTAGACTTGTTAAAAACCGGTTGTGTCACTCGTGTGGTTATGGATGCCATTGCTGATCTGTATGTGGAGGAATCTGCAGTCTCGTGGGAACACTGTGGCAGCGACGGTGCTCAAAAAGACACTGGAAAAAATGTTTGACAGTTTGTCAAGTAGACACAAGGTTCGACACAAGGCCTTCCTACCACTGCCCATCTAAAATATACCGTCTTTGGAATTAATGTTATTTATTCGACAACATACTGATTGTATTTGAGCGTCCCGTTTGTTGTGCGCAGCTCTGCTGATTTATCTCCTGACTAATCTCAGAGGCAGATGTCAGTTATGACAGTTACGTGAGTAAAGCAGATTCGGCGGCATTAAGAGTTAAGAGGGTGAATTCTGGTCAGATGACGAAAGCGTGATGTGACACTTGGAGATCTGCGGGGCAGGTGTCCAAAGACAGACATGCACACTATCTATGCCCTCTAACACCTCGTCACGGTGACAGTTACCCCGCACGCTGGGATGCATTAGTAGTGCCAGCGCACCACATCACACGCTGTGCTCTGCCTAGTGTCTAACTCGCGTTAGAAAAAGGAGAGGAAACGTGGACTTTTCAGCTGTATCAGTGAGGATGTTGGTCATTCTTGGTGGATAGTGACGTGCATAGCTATGATGAATGTTAAAGTGAACGTTTCTTGAATGACATTTGTTTGACAGTGTTTGTGTGCAAAGATGCCAGACACTTTACAGTTTTTGTTTTGTCAGCTTTCAGGCTAGCTCAGAGTTGGTGCCTTCCATCTTTGAAATGTGTGTTTCAATGCATCAACTATCGATGCATCAGGTCAACAAGAAGAACCGTTACAAGTTTTTAAGGCTGATGAGGAAACTCAAATCTGATATTTGTTAAGCTCTACAAATGGCTGATTATGCAAAAGTCAGCGAATAATTGTGCTGAATAATCGTGTTCTCGATATTGACCGTTATGACTATTCAGGCTTTCGCCATATTGGCAACACCAGTGGATCCTTTATTGTCAGTTTATGTTTCCTATTAGGAAAGGGTGTGTAAAAGGGTGTGCATGTTCGCACTCCTGTCTGTGAAAGGAAGAAGACACGCTCTATGTCTGGAGGTGGGCCAGTTTAGGTGTGGACTGGGTATCATCTCCGCTGTTTATTAATGCTGTCATTGTTCAGGCTTCTCTGGAATGTCATCTTGAGTGCATCGCTGTTTAGTGTCACAGCGGGGACAAAGGGCAGCAGTCACAAGCGAGACTTCTTGGCTGTTGACAGGTATTAGTCTGTCAGTAGGAAGTATTGTATTTTCGATTTTTCCAGACGTTTATCTTCACAGTCCTGAATTACTCCATACAGACTTTTTTTGTGCTATTAAATAAAGTAACAGCACTGTTTTTAGATTGGAAAAAGAACTCTCTGTATTCATACATCTTGGACTGCCAGAAGGACCTTAGATCTAGTGACAGTCCAGTACTTCAGGCTGGTAACTGACAGCAAATTGACAAAATTGACTCGCACTTTATCAGATTAAACTGACTCAATAATATGTACGAGGTCAGATGAGCTGTGAGTGTGTGTATGTGAGTGTTTGGAGGTAAAGATAAGGAGCAGATTGAACAAATGACCCTTTTGTTAGTGATTCAGAGCAGCTCACATGTTTGCTGCAGGGCTTTTTAAAAACCCTTCTTGGAATTTTGACCGCAGCTTTCAGTGAAACCTGATGAAGCATAAAAAATGTTGAATGGAGTTCACCAGATGCTGTTGTGTTGTTTCTTCTAATCTAAAATGTAAAATTTAGCACGTGACTATATGAATCTGTGATCATGTCCTGCTGTTGTGCCACGTTTTACACTTTGATTAAGTGGTAGTGAAGCTAAGCCTGACTATAATGTTAAATAGGCCAAGTTTAAATTTATATTAAGGCGTTATATATTATATCTAATGCATGAGTTTTTGTGACTTTTTGAGACTTTCACATCATCAGTGTGCTTTTAACAAATCTGATACAATTAAAACTCATATATGCAAATATTTACTTGATTTTATTTTATTTTATCAGAACGTAAAATAAAGTAAACAGTCTCATTTAAAAAAAAATTGAATTTTCTGGCAATTATTTCATGGTTCAGGCTTTAAAAGGTAAGTTTCTTCTCTCAACTTCAAAGGCTCTTCTCAGTGCCAACTCTCTTCCGTGGTTTTTTCCTCATTCCTCTGTTTTTCCTCATGTGATGTCAAATAAATCATCTATTTGAGGGATTACACAGCAACCAAAGGGTTTACAGTGCTGTTTAGATTAGACATTTTTAGTGGTACTCCATCGCACTCTGCCATTGCTGTGTGTGTAGCATGAGGGGAATAGTGGTCTCTTCTACAGAGTCCTTGTGTTTAAATTAACTATAGAAGCCTGTGAGTGTGTTTACATGATCTTAATGGGAATCTGTAGCCTGACTGAACATCTATATAGCTTGTGATTGATGACTGGATTATACGCAGCTCCAGAATGGCCAAATGTTCTATTCTTAAAAAGATTTATATCACAAATTCTTCTTCTGATTTTACTAATATAGATCAGAGGGAAATGAAAGCTATAAAGAAAACTGAATGAATGGCCATGCTAGCATTGAATCATTGTGGTCTAATAGGCAGAGGGCAGACGTTGGTATGAGCTGGAAAATCTGCTTTTTATATTGCGTGATGGTCTCATGTTGTGTGGATTTCATGTAAACTAACACAAACTGTTACCAGTATAAGGAGCTTGGCTTGAGAATTTTAACCCCTGTATATGGTACGCTGCCATGTGACCATGAAACTGGAGCATTGCGACGCGGTGGAGTATTAACACACAGCTAGCATATTTGTTTTGTTGGTGCAGCATTGAACATGTCAAAGCGTACAGACGCGAGCCCCTTTCAGATGAGCGCTTCTTTCCATTGATCTGATGGCATCTGAACGCGTCGGGCTAGATGAGCGTCTGACTGGGCACTCTGGTTACTTTTCGCCACGGCAATCTAACTCGCTCAGTCAGAGTGTGAGGTGCGTAGGGAGCTATTGTCACATGCAGCACACACACGCTTACATTGATTTAGTTACTGAGATCGATATTAACATGTATAGTTACACTTAATGAGTTAATGCTTACAGTTTTCATTAATATAGGTGCAAAAAGTATTTTCTCACGAGTGCAATGGTGCTCTCCACCACTGTCACTGGTGTATCTGACAGAACATTAAAAGTGACCTGTGTCAGGGTCACTGCAAAAAGCTTATGTATCCCATGTTTGAAAAGCCCAGCTGCTTGCTTTTTTTGTGTCTTGCCAAATTGACATTTATTACTCAACATGCTGTAACAACAAGCATAAATGCACTATTAAAGGTGGTGGAAAGAGAGAATATTTTACTTGTAAAGGTGTTGTAAAAATGTTAATTGCATGTTATCTCTTACTACACAGATTTTATTTGAGTGGTTTTCTCCCTCTTTTGTGAATACATTCTCTCTGCGTTATCTTTTATGACTGGAGGGCATTTTTGGACTGTCATTAGTGAGCACTGCAGATAAATCTATCTCCCTCAGCTGTTCTACCATATTTGGCTTTGAGTGTCAAGTGGCCAGCAATTGGTTTACTGATTTCATCACCTGTCTTGTGATTGAGTCTTTGAAGCACACGGGGTGTGTGTGATTTAATTTAGCAACCTTTATGGGATGATAAGTTTGTTCAATTTTCTGCCTGATTAGATTTTCCACTTAATGGGATGCTTCCCCAGTTCAGCTGTAGCTCCAGCTTTCATGCAACAGTGTCTCTGTGTGTTTATGTGCAGCTGAAGAGTTTTGCTTTGGACATACCCTGCATTACCCTGATAAACAAATGGGTAATGCAGTAAGCTGTTTGCAGTTCTACTTGTGCATTTTATTCTCATTGATTCCTCCTTGTTTTGTGTTCACAATCCCTAGAAGTCACTGGCCAGTTCACTGAAACTCTTATTTATAATCCTTCTCTTCTAATTTCTCCCTCTCTGCTCTTTTCTCCTTCAGTCTCCTCGTGCATAACCACCTGTAAGAAAGCAGCTCCTCCACCAGTGCCACCCCGTACAACCTCCAAGCCCTACATCTCAGTGACCGTGCAGAGCAGCACAGAATCGGCCCAGGACAACTACTTGGACCAGCAGGACAGGAGGTCAGAGGTCAACAGCCAATCTAGCCACGCTCAAAGCAATTCTTCTGACAGCCTTGACAGCACCCGTGCCAACAGCCTGGCCCGGGGCATTCCCCGCCCTCCGCACATCATCCCCACTCCTATTGCTACCCCGAGAGAACCAATTGCCCCCGCTACTGCAAATGCTTCCACTGAGACAAGTGACTCTGTAGTCCAGCACGAACCCCTAAAATCGGGATTTAATAAAGGAAATCTTGCAGCAGAGGAGCCCCTAGTAGTCCCGGTGCCCAGGCGGAAACTTTCCTCCATTGGCATACAGGTACGACAGGGGTGGCTGTACCACTGTTGCACAGTTGTGTAGAAATCAGACGTTAACTACACATCTAACACAGAGCGGTGCCAATAGTCACATCCTTGACTGAAGTGTAACTCGTTTTGCCTGCTGAGCTTGAATCCAGGAAAAAGCTAATTTTGTTCATGATCTCTGTCTAAGTGTTTCCCATCAAACCTAAAAGTATGCCTGGAAGTTAAAGGTGTCATTACTGTGACTCTCGCTCTCTCATTACACCTGGCGAGAGCAATCTTTTTATTTATTTATTTTTTTTTCTGTGGTATTGAAGCCAAACCACATATTTTTGCTTCACCTTCTTCTCACTTTCTGTTCTGAAGCGGAAATATTTTATCCATTTTCCAGATCCGGCTCTCAGTGACTCATTTAGAACAACCTTTGGTTTCGACATTGTATTGAAACCAAGCATAAATTATACAGGTTTTTTTTTCTTTTCAGTTTTTCCACTAGTGTTTTGTTTTGTCACTCTGGAATGCCAGCTAGTAGCCATTGCTCTGTGCCATATTAATTGATTCGTGATCGTAGTTTTGACAAAACATTTGACTATATTTTTGTTTGTGTCATTGTTCCTTACTTTTCAGGTGGACTGTATTCAGGAAGTTGCACGAGAAGAGACTCCTCCCCTGACCAGATTTCAATCAATTGGAGTACAGGTGGAGGACGGGTGGCAGTAAGTCCTCTTCCTGTCCTTTTAACAACGTGAGGAATTTATATTATAGCCACACATACTCCTCTGACTGTTCTTTCCCTTTCCAGGAGCTTTGTAGATGTTAAAACACCCTCATTGTCTTTGTGTGTTGTGTTTTCAACATTGAACGCAACATTGAACCATATTCCTATAATGAATATTAACTACTCAAAGATCCCCTCCGGGCATGTTCAAATAAACAAAAATATTAATCATGTGTAATGTAATGGGGGGGATTAATTACTCACCTAGAAATTCTTAAAAGCCTCCTACATTGAATTCAAATTGTCAAATATGAAGCTATTTTTTGTCTTAATTGAAATGTTTAACTGCTGGTTGTAAGGCTCCTCATTCATTACTTTCTGTGAGTGATAATTGTGCAGCAGACCCAAATTATCTTAGTTTGCTAAAGTCTGTCTTTTGAACTCAACTTGTAGCAAGTAAATGTGAAAATAGTCTTGAAGTGTTGCACTGTGAACATGCATAATGCAGTTAAATGTGAAATGTGCACACAATTTAAACTTGCCACAGGGTGATGACTCACACTTTTTCTACAGATTATATTCAAGTGCTGCAGACAGTCTGGAAAGTGCAGATTGAGTGTTTTACGCATTTATTAGGCGTGTATACAATCAGGTATCTTGTATAGTAAGTGACTGTCTGCTTTCTTGTCTCCTTACAGTCTTTTGCAAAGTGCTTGAATATAATCAAGATAACAGAGAACAGGGCAAATGCACGTCTGTCTCTGGCAGCTAGTTTTGGCTACGCACCGCGGGAAACTTTAAATATGTCTCTTTTTAATGTGTGGTTAAGATTCATTTGTTTGGTGCAGTGCATTCTGTGACCTGTTTGTATTTTGCTGGTATTGTGCTATGTGACTCTGTTATGTCAGTTTTGGTGCAATGATTCTGTCATTCTTCAGGGGTTTTTTTTTTTTCTCCCTCTTCTTTATGTTTCATTATTTGACTGAACGCAAACCTCCTTATGTTCATTTTCTGACTGATAACAGTAATGCTCAGTCATTGCATCCATCATATCTAATCAGCCTTAGAAAAACAAGAAGCTAGAGTTCCAATCCTCACAAATCATTTGATGCTGGTCTGAGTGCATCATAATGTATGCAAGGCCCAGACTCCATTAGATCCTCTGTATTTATAATGTCTACATTCACCAGTGGAATTGGCTCACTGTTTAAACTAAGAAAGACCTGTTTGTTCCAGTAAGGAGTAAACAGGTTTTCTTTGTTAATGCTGTGCACATAAAATGTCACAATGTTCTTCTTCTAATTATGAAAAAAGGCAAATTTATCACAGTGTCAAATACTTTTTTTCAGGCTCAGTCACTCCAGCAGCATGGCCTCAAAACACGAAACAGACTCAGACACGCAGGACATCTCTATCATCTCCCATGTAATTAATGCCAAACCCACTGAGAAGAAAGTCATGGTCAATTGTGCCAGTCAGTCCATGAGCTCCCCTCCTGGACGAGACTCTTTAGACAGTGCCGACCCCACCTCTTCACCTCCACCTCCCAGGCAGATTCTCAACCGCTCCACCACAAGAAGCAGCTCTTCCTCTTTTTCGGAAAGTCTGGACCCAGCGTTGGACCCCTCTTCTCTTCCACCGCCAGACCCCTGGCTGGACAGCGGGAATAACAGCAGTGTCCCTCAGAGCGGAGGAGGGGGAACGCTGTGTCGGAGGGACGGCCAGTGGTTCTTGAAGCTGCTGCAGGCCGAGACGGGACGCATGGAAGGCTGGTGCCAGCAGATGGAACAGGAAACCAAAGATAACCAGCTCTCAGAAGAGGGTAAGGATGGCAGGGTGCTCACTGTAACACAGTTTTCTCATTGTTTAAGTACCTCTGCCAGCTGGAGAAGGTTGCAGAATAGAAAAAGCATAAATCAGTTTACTTTGTTGTCTCAGATATGGTTTTGGTTGTGTTGACACATTTTGTTATTGTCTGGAACAGAGAGTGTTAAATTCACAGCAGTGCCTATGACTCCTGGGTATTGTTGTATACCACAATGGCAAAATTACAGGAAGAAAAGCAAAATTTCTCAGAAATAAACATGAACTAATTAAACCTCGTGACCATAAACCAAATTCACAAGTTCATTGCACTACCAGGGATAGTTTTGTGTGCAGTAACATAAAGGAAATTGTTTAAAAATTCATACGTAAATCAATCGGGACACACTCCTGAAAAAATCATAACCCTGCGATTGCTCTGGTTTCCTCCCACACTCCCAGAATAATAGACTGAGCTATGGTGGCCATAGTTTTATCGGTCACATAAACCCTAAACAGTCAGTTTCTTCAGGTTAGCTCTGTGATGGGCTGGTGACCTGTCCTCTCACTGCCCTAAGTTGAATGAATGGATGGCATATTCCAAAGATATTTAGGGTAATTGTGTCATGGCATATGTCTGTGTAGGTTCTCGTCCTGGTCATCGTTATTTAAGTAGATTAGAAAGAGCTTGAAAAGAAAAAACTCAACTTTTTTGAGTTTATTGAAGACATTTCACCTCTTATCTCAAAAACTATGTTATGACATAGTTTGTCCAGTAGGATGCGCTCTTACTCTAGTATTTACAAGAGTCAGCAGGAGTAAGCAGAGTCTGCAGCACATGTAGTTGAGTCCACTTTACAGCTCAGCAGACCGTGGTGCAGAGGCTTTGATAGCAGGCTAAGTTGCTAACTGTGATCAGGAGTAGCTTTTTCATACATAAAAATGTTTTTAAGTAAAACATGTTTGTTCTTTATAGTTTTTCTTGCAGATAAAGTGGTTGCATATGTGTTACTGCATAGGGATGTTTTTCATTATAAGCTAGAGATACAAACACACAATTAAAACACTTTTTTTTTCCATTTAAAATTTGAAACTTTCTATCTATGGTTGACATAGCCATAATTTAAGCCAGAAAGTTCCAGAAAGAGCACGCCAAGGCTAAATGTCAAATCACTACCGAAGCGCTTCAGCTCTTCCAAACGTCTGTTGTTGTCTCGCTCCGGCACTTGGTGTGGAGCTCTGTTTATGGGGTCTTGCCTCAAGGCCTCTTCTCACTCTTATCAGAGTTGCACAGCATGGCAGGGATGAGGCGGTAATACCTGGGGTTACCGCACACAAACGGGCCTCTAATCTCCAGAATTACACAAATCTAGTCTGGACCTGATTAAACCCCCAGATTAGATTAATGCCTCCACATCAGCCTGTGGCATAGAGCAAATACACACAGTACACACAAGCAGGGCTGTAGGTGGTCAATATTCAGACAAGGCCCTTTCCTATATTTGACTATAAATTTGACATATACTCAGGTGTGTGTGTGTGTGTGTGTGTGTGTGTGTGTGTGTGTGTGTGTGTGTGTTTACAGTAAAATATTCAGGATTAAATCTGATGTCGAGCTGTTTTCCAGACCCAGGCGACATAACACTATAATCATAAATAGTATAATACATTTGAAATGCAGTGATTGAATAGAAGCCGCAATTTTGTCAGGACAGATGTTTGTCCTGATTTTGACAAAGCAAAAGACTAGCATAGTAACAAGTGACAGACAGAAGGCTGGGGTATCTATATAGGCTTACATTCCTTTAAATAGAATCACAATGTCCAATACACTGTAATCCCCTTCATGACATCCTGTGGAGTCTGTTAGATTCACTGTTTCCTACACCTACGTCTAGACCCTAAAGTTTTGCTTTGTATGATAATGTTCTGCACCAAAGAAAAAACCAGCAAGTGTTTACCCAGTGAGACCAACTGTATGCAGGTCAGTGTGTAAAGTGCCACTATGAATTCTGTCTCTACTTTAGGAGGTAGAAAGAAAGAAAAGAGAAAATCTTCAATGATTGTTACATTTTTTTTTTCTTTCTCTCACTGTAGTGCTGGGGAAGATTCGCAGTGCAGTAGGAAGTGCCCAACTCCTAATGTCTCAGAAGTTTCAGCAGTTCCGGGGACTGTGTGAACAAAACTTGGTGTGTACATGGCCTTTCTGTGATGATTCCACTTTGCAGGCTCGCTCACGAGACTGAAAGTCCCAGCTAGTTTCTTGTACCCGTTACCAATTTGGGAATTTGTTGGGGTTTTTTGTGTGTCCACAGCAAGAGCTGCTTGCTTTGATGATTACAAAAGCTATCGCACATATGACAACTAATCTGATATACAGCCTATTAGGCCTACACAAAACAAGTCATTGGGATCAACCCACACAAAAGAAAAGGAGCTTAAAATAAAGAAATAAGCCCTTGTTTTAGTGAAAATGGCTATATACCGCAGACTTTACAACAAATGCTGCATAGTAAGAAATATAGAGCGACTACGCGGTTTATCTAGAATATATGAATATAGATCACAGCAGTGATATAAAGCTGCATAAATGTAGTGCACAGAAAAAGAAGGCACAATCTAAAAGCCAGCCTTCCCCAAGCATTACAAGCAGTGGCTGTGTGAGAGTAAAGGATCTCAGAGCAGCCTTTACTTCATATCGGGCAGTATCTGCAGGTTTAATCAGCAGAATAAACATAGAGGGAACAGTTTGATTTGACACTAGATGCTGAGTGGTTGCCTTCTAGATCAAAGTACTGAATTTATCAACGTGGGAGTTGGAAATGTATGATGTTATTGAAATGACTAAACCGTGCTGCGACAGTAGTCCCTCCAGCTCAACAAAAAGAGTTAAGCTGTGATGTAGCTCCCTCTAGTGCTAAATATGAAAACAACAGCTTTTCTGTGCCATAACTCTTGCTGGTCAAAGCAGGCAGTGCTATTATGCAGCTTTTGTCCTCCTCCATTGATACTTTTTTTTAAATTTAATAAGAAGATAAAACTCTTGAGAATTAAAATACCTTTTGTGATCGTGTGTTGGCCAAGAGAGGCAGCGGCTTAATCAGCAGAACAATACACACACAACAGGCACACATTTGCATTATAAAATAATGGAGGCTCCTGGTTTGTTCCTCAACATCCTAACCCATTTCCTGTTATCTGAGGGTGCCAGTTTGGGTCTTCTTCCAGACCTTGTCAAATTGGTGACATGTTTGAATAACTTGCATCTGGTTGTTTGAGCTGATGATCTTGGAATCTGCATTGTCTACATATGACTCTCAATCTAAACTGTAAATAGCATTGTTGTAATTCAGCTAAACACATATTAGCAGCAGTTCTTTCAAGCCTCAAAGGAGGTTGGTTTAAAGCCAAAAGAAGGGGAAGGGTCTGTTATAGTTGCAAGAAAAGAAAAAGGAGCAACCAAATAAGCTTTCCGGGTAAGAAACAGTGCTCATTTTAAAACCAAACCTACAGTCAGTGCTGTCTACTTTCTAGTCAAACAGCTGAAGGCTTCCATGGACAGTGGTGGTTCCAGCTGTGGTGAAACTACAATACACTGAGGTCCTGAGGTTCCAGTGACAGACGGAGTGTGATGTAAAGAAACCATCCCACCAAGATGATGGCACATCATGGACATAGATACCGCCCTTTTACTTGCCAAGATCATCTCAAATAGATTTAGCCAACTTTTACATTTTCAGTGGTTAATTTTATTTGTATTTATTTATTTTTCATATAAAATTTGTTTTCCATTTTCACACATGCATCATATTCCTGGACAAGACTTCTCTGGTACACTGAAAAGGTTGAAAACAGGCAAATTTGTCAGAATCCTTCTTCTTTTGGAGCTTTAGAGGCTACACCGTGATAGCAGGAAAACAAACTAACCCATAACCAGAATGAGTTTGATTCACATTCTGGACAAAAACTCCAAACTCCAAAAAGAAGTTAAGTTGTTTGGGCTTAAGGGTAGTAATAAAAAAAAAAGAGAAAAGAAAAAAACTGTTTTATTTTTAACAAGGTTTCATCAGCAGTGTAACACTTTGTACACTTACGCTTGACTGCAGTCAGCTTTTATATCTCATGATTCTTTTCTCATTGTAATATTCATTACAGTGTTATATAGATTACATGTATTGTATTCTTACTCCTCAATCATTTTCATCTCTCTTCTGGTTAGAATACAAATGCCAACCCACGCCCTACAGCCCAGGACCTGGCTGGTTTTTGGGACCTCCTTCAGCTATCCATTGAAGACATCAGCCTCAAATTTGATGAGCTTTACCATCTCAAGTCCAATGACTGGCAGCCCGTGACATCTGCAGCTGCCCAGTCAAATTCTGAGCGGAAGGTACTTCCCACCCCTGCTGCCCAGTGCCCTGGCTGGGGTAGGAAAGCCGCCGAAACCGGCCTCTCTCCTCCCACCACCACTACCATTGCTCCCACTCTTCTTTTACCCCGCATCCCCTTCGTGGGATGAACTCTTACAAGGCCTCCCTGTCCAAAGGGGCCAGAGTGATCCCTGTAGGCATGCATGGAAAAATTAAAACATCTCAAAGAGGGCTGACGCTTGTGTGTTTTTATGTATGAAGCCCTACTTTGAGCATGCATGTGTCATTTTTCTGATCTGTGTGTTGCAGCGAAGCATGGCTGAGATGCGCTGGTTCATGTGAAAGAATTCTGGCTTTTGTTATTTAAAAGTCTGTGTGCTTGTGTGTCCTTTGTTGATTGTTAATAAGTAACTGTGTGTATATGTGTCTCTGTGCCTGCATCTTTATGTCAGTGGCTGTTTTACCTGTCTCTGAGGTGCTTTTGCTTCTGTTGCTTGTCAGTATACGTGCATCGGGTGTGTCTTGTGAGCCTTATAATTTAAACTTAATGTAAACTCCCCATCAGTTCATGTTACCATTTCATGTCTTTGAAAATTTGTATTCAAATGACTGTTTAGTCTTTTTTTTTTTCTCAGTGTCTGTTTTTCAGGTGTCTGTACTGTCAGTGTCTCTGTTTATCATGTATAATCACTGTTATTTCAATCTTAATTGAAGAGAATTAGCCCTGTTGTACTGTCTTGTCAAAGTCCTGTCTGCAGATCTTGTCTAAACTGATGAAAGACCTTGATGTTTCTTGATTATATTTTCTCACTGGATGATATCTGTCTTCCCCCCCCCCCCCCCCCCCCCCCCCTTATCTCCTCTTTTCACACATTACTCTTCCCTCTCTGTCACTTTCTGTCACTCCCAACACGACAGGACGAGGAGAAGGCGGCGTCAAAGAAGCCTGGTAAGGTACGACCACCGCTGGGCCGCGAGAAGAGTGCCGACTCTTCATCCAACTCTTCCTTGAGCTCGGCAGAGAAACAGCGACAAGAGGCTCGCAAGCGTCTGCTGGCTGCTAAGAAGGCTGCCTCGTTTCGCCAGAACTCGGCCACAGAGAGCGCAGACAGCATCGAAATTTACGTCCCTGAGGCCCAGACTCGTCTCTGAAAGAAACTGTGAGAGAGGGCCGTTGGGTTGGAACAAAAGACAGTTAAGTGTCAGTTAAACACCTGGAGAAAGGAGAGGAAGCTTTTGCAATGTAAATGAGTCATCTCAGTGAAGATGGGTACGGGTGGAGGGAAAAGAGTGGGGAAATTCCTGAGTTTGGAGGGTTTTGACACATTCATACAATAATAGGCTGGTCCTGGTGACTTCAAATGAGCAAACAAGTCATTGAATATTTCTCGGACCCAACGGACTTTGAAGCAGGAGACTCCTCATTTGAGTCTTGCCATTGAAAACCTCAGCTGATGAACTTTATCTTTTCTTGTTACGGTTCTTGATATCATCATAAAAAATTGTTAATGAAGGTATTGTTATAATGACAATTATATCCTAAAGAATCTATATGAAGACTGTTTTAAATGTTCCTGTATCTCGGCTATAAGATATTTTAAGCAGACAGAAGGCAAGCGTTTATGCTTTTCTGTCTTCCATCGTCCTGCTCTCTTCCCAGACCATTGGCCATCTTGTAGCTTTTGCACAACACCGCCTTGTGGCCATCACAGACACTGCACACATACCACAAACTCACCTGTGTGTCTTCCTCCTATTTATTTGTTTGTTTGTTAACTTTCTTCATCATTTGAGTTCTATAAAAATCAGTTTAGATCAGGTTATTACGAATAGTTTTGGTGTGATGAAACTGAAAGTCAGGTTTAAAGGGGTATTTGTATAGTTAGCAGTTACCTCTTGCGTATGTCCTACAGAGTCGATTGTGTCAAAGATGTTTTTTAACAAACTTTAGGTTTAGTGTCTGAATAGATTTTGAATGAGAACGCATCCCAATAATCAGGCAAAGCTTGAGGACATTTTAGGATACGCACTACCGCTCGAAAGTTTGGGGTTTTTTAGAAATGTTTTTGTTTTCTTTGTTTTGTGAAGAGAAGCTCACTTGTTTTAAGCTAATGTAGCGCTGACCAGCAGAAATGTTATACCGGTAATTGGCAGCAATTAATTACAATTACCAACATTTCAGGCATACATACCTTCACTCCTGTGTTCTAATGGCATGATCCCTAATACCAGTTTGTCATATTAAAAGAATAATTATTAGGAAACCTCTTTCAGTTATGTTAACATAGCTGACAAAACTTGTGCCATTAACAGAAGCCATTACATTACATGCCATTACATTTAATGTTGTTTCTTTCACTGTGGATTAGATGTTTAAAAAGACATTTTAGATAACTAAAATTAAAACAAACTGGGGGGAATTTAAGACTATAACTGAAACAATTTTGTGAACTTGGAACACTAATAAATATATAGAAATAAATATATAGAGGAGATATCCTTAATTACTATCTGTTAGTTATGTCAAGAAGAGGCTTTGATGTGTTTGAAACTCAGGATCTCTGGACACTGTGAACCAGCTGCTTTCAAAAAGTTATGTGATTTTATTGTAATACCTGGACTGATTTTCCTAAATCTTGTCTTTTACTTATACAGTCCATATAATATTAATTTAAATGGACACTAAACCTAAACATTTTCAAAGAATAGAAATTACCGGTAAATTGAAATAAGAGAATCACCCCTGGGAAAATAACTGAAAAACAAACAGTCAAAATAAAAGGTAATTGGAAATGGCTGAAGCAGGTCCAGCTATTGTCACTTAATAAAAACATTTATTGATTCATACAATGTTTTTTTTTGTTTTGTTTTGTTTTTTTACTACTCGGAGAAGTGCAAACCAGCTCTAAAGAGAACAGAAAGAATGAGATAAAACCCTGTAGATCATTGCGCTAGGAGATATAAATCACTCATAAATCAGAGTTTCTAGTCTTCTATTGGCAGCTTTATGAAATGGTTCCCATAAGAGCCAAATCATGTTGGTTTGTGAAAGGAACAGTACACACTGTTTAACTTTTCAGGCATGTAATAGGTAGTTCCCTTTTTTTAAGAGCGTTTTGAGACTACTCTAAAACCCATAAAGGCTGATCTATCAGGCTCTTAACTATCCAATATTTTTAATCAGCGATACAGTTTTCATAACATTATCAAATAGGTCAGGAGCGCACTGCTTGCATTACCAGTACCATGTTCGCTTCTCGTGTTAAGTTAGAGCAGTCTGCCTGAGAAGCACGAGTCAGCACTCTGCATCTAAAGACCCAGAGTGTCAGTTTTTTTCTCCCCAAGTGAAACATGCAGCTCTCAGCAAAATCAGTGAAAAAAATAATCTATTTATAGTCATGTTGTCAGGCTAGCAGCACTATAACTGATATTTTTGGTATAATTTAAAGATGTGGAATATATCTGAGAAACGTTTTTCACAAATGTGGAAAAATGCAAGCTAAATAAAATGTCATTAATCCGATATAATATAGGAGATAATTACCAGAAACACAACGAGGGTTATAATTATTTTATTATCGATAAGTTACCAGAATCTTTGACAGGGAACATCTTTCCTGGTGCACTCCTTCTTTCTGTACTGTGTGTGAGCCACAACACTTTATCGAGATAGCTGTCATGCATAGATAGAAGTTAGGTAGCTATCTTGCACTTGCTGATGTAATCTGCCACTGGAGCACAGGATTGATCCCTTGATATAGATTCCAGTAATGATTGATTAATACATTTTGATCTGCAACATTTTTGTAAACCTTTACTTTATACGCAGCGTAAGGTTTATCCTGCAGCTGCCCTAAATTAACAGTATTGGCAATTACAAAAATCTTTTTTTGAATGTTCGTCTAATGGTCAGTCCACCGGCATGCGCACGCTCTTTAATAAAAATGATGTGTTTAATTCTAAATATAATTATTGTTGGTAACCATGAATTATCAAAGTTGTTGTTTTGCAAAAGAGTTTTTTTTTTTTCTTTTTAATGAAGATCCCAATTACTGTTATTTGCTTGCATTCATGAATTAGTTTTTGTGTTTGAATGTTATAAGTCTGATTAATTTCAGACTTGTCTGAGAAGTCCAGTGTACCAGCTCAAGTTTGGGTATATTTTGATTGGTCATTTTTAGTTTTATACATGTTTTCACAGATGTGAAGTGGGAGTTTTGCAAAATTACCTCAAACTTTTGAGGGGTAATGTTTACCTGACAGAATGACACGGGGAACTATATACCGAATATTTATTCCTGTTGTTGGGACGAAATCTTTCACTCCTCCTGGTGTCTTTTGCCTTCTCTTTTCCACTACCTTAGCATTTTCTGTTTGTGCTGTAACTGCAGATACTTAAATATTTGACTTCTTTAAGTGCTTTCATCTAGGCTTCATGCAGCAGGCACAGTGAGCAGGTTTCGTGTTTCCAGAAGTGTTTTTTGATTTTATTTTGCTTCCCATCACTCAACAAAATAACGAAATCAAAGTTCATTGTTACATTATCTCCCCCCCATCAGAGGAGCACCCAAAATACCTGCACTTATTTTTATTCAAAGAAGACTTTCTTATTAAAGCATTACATACATTAGTGATTGTGTTTTAATCATTTATTCAGTTGCTTTTTTTTTTCTTTCCACTGAAGACTGCGTAAGCCAAAGATGAATTCACTGTTTTAAATTCATCTTGTGTATTTAAATGTCAGCTTCAAGGAACTCAAATGTCGACTGTGAAAATAGATTAAGTACACTGTAGCCATAGCAACATATAGATTTAAAGATTTTGATAAGTCCATGTTTGACAGCAGAACCGGCCATCACTTGTGGATCAAACCTCTTCGTTTGGTTCATGAACTTAGGAGTTTGCATTTTGAAAAGCATCGTTTCTGAAGTCTGCAGCAGCAGGGGCTGATTTTTCTTTTTCTTTTTTTTCACTCAAGAAAACATATGATGTCTCTGCCACGTGTGTTTACAGTGAAATTACATAGCTGGCATTGCATAATTTGCATGAAGGGGACACATCGCTTTGATTGCACATATCCCCTCACTTTAGATTTTTACACTGCGAGTAGCATACCGAACCAGCGAGTCACCCCTGACATGCCTTAGATCAACCACTGTCATTTGCCTGTCTTCCACTTTCAGTTGGTAAGCAAACAAACTCCAACTGTCCTCTCCTAATTACTTGCCACTGGCCTTAGCTGTTGCAGTGTCTGTTTCTCACCTGCTGTGAACCAGAAGTACATAATTTGAATTGGAAATACCAAGTAAGCACCACTTCTTACTCTTGATTGCTCACCATTCTTTCGCTGTTGTGTTTGCCTGCTGGGGATGTCTCTCAGCCAGAAAAATGGCACAAAGGTGTCAATAGTTGGCTCCGTGATGGCTGTCAGTATACCCCCTTCCGTTTGACTGGGGGTGAATAGGGCCGTTAGCATCTGAGGCCTACAGTGTGACTCAAACTTGGTGGTTGGCTTGATTTAATTTCTGACTGTCTGGAAGAACTCGTCTGATGAAATCTTCTCCTAAAATAAGCATAGATGTCTCTTCTATGTGTAAGCAGGACGGCTTCTAGTGGATATATATGTATCAACGACAAGATGACAGTGTCTTCACTCTATGCACTCACTGCCATGTTTTACAATACCTAATAATTATGTAATATGTTACATAATTTCATGTATCATTTTCTTTTCTTCATATTTTTCCCCCACATATTGCTTGCTTGCACAAAACCGTAGGACTTGAATGCAGATAAAACACAAATGTGGCATCTCCGGCGCACTAAGGGGAGGAGGCCAGGAACACAGAGAAAGTTGTTCTGTGATCTGTTTCAAACTGAGAGTCGAGACTTTTTCCAGCCTGCTGATGACTGTGTCTGTGTGTGTTTGTGTGTGTGCATGTATGGGAAACCAGGGGATGTAAGTGGGGTACTTAAAGAGACAAAAGAAAGCTCATCTCATACATTTAAACAAAGCTGTTCTTTAGCACACAAATAATCACTGGGGCACACCTAGCTGGATTTCCTGGGTAGGTTTATCAGTTATTCACTCAGTGGCACTGTGGGGGGTGGGGGGTGGGGGGGGGGGATTGCTGCTCTAAACTATTGATTTTTATGGGTGATAATGAATGGGCTTTTATTTAGCATCACACTAAATGCATGATGAGTTTCATATCAGAGCATAGCTTTGATGAGCAGTCTATTTTTTTTCTGTGAAAGGGTAAAAGTTTCATTTTGGGAATCCAGGTTTGATACATGTTTGCACATTTAAATGTGTTTGCATCAGACAGTGTGAATCTAGTGAAACTAACCCCACGCAGTACTCTGAAGAGAGGGGGAGGACAAAAAGCTCTTTCGTATCCCTTCATTGTTTCTCTGACTTTGGAATATAACTGGGAAAAGGGGGTGAAGGGCAGGGGCAATACTCTTTTAAACATGAGAGATATGATGTAGCAAAAAGTGTCTGTACAAATCCTAGAAGAAATACTTTATGAAGCAAGCACATACTTTAAATCTGTTCTTTAAACTACTCTTATAGGCTGTGTGTAATTCAAGGTCTGTGGGTTTAGTAAAACTGGTTGTGCTGTCTGAGACAAAGTTGTGAGTGAGTGGATGTGCTCATAAAGTGAGATTTACTTAGATTCTTGTCACTATACTCTGGTAATATTTAAAGTATATGCGCAATACTGAGTAAAAGGGTTGTTTGATATTAAGACAAAACTAATAATCTTGCATTTCTCCCCGTGCTTCTAAAAATGTCTTCTGTAAATAAGAACAAAGTCGGACTAAAATCCCCATCTTTTACAATGCTGTAGAGCTATTTATACTATTTCAAGGTTGTTCAAATGTATAATGCAGAGACCTAAAATTCAATAAATGCACACAGTACTTTCTCAAAAACGTCATCATGGCTGCCTTTATTTTAGTGTTTTGCTCTTTTAAAAAGGTGATTTCCTTTGCTTTTTTGTTTTAAATAAGTGTAAAAATCGTTTTTAACACCGAAAACATACTATGATCTATAGTCTTCATTTACAGTCATCTTACGTTGATTTGTTTGTGCTATCAATCTCACAGAAACCAAAACTCCCGCTTGTTTTCTGGAGGAGTTTGAGTCTTCCACAGATGTCGAGAAATCAAAACAGTCCCATTTTTGTCAAACGAGCCTCTCGGGCTTGAACAGAAACCGAGCAAAATGAATAAGAAATCACCAGTCAACTCTTAAGACGCTTATGTTTTTGTGTTATGTTTTACATATCTCAAACAGAGATATTAGCTAGCCCCTGGAGACGATAATAAAATGACCACAGTGGTCTGATTACACCGTTGTTATATATACATCCCGCTTGTGTCTATGTAACCACTGGGTTGCTAGTTGCTCCCCTCCGGTTTTAACCGCGTCGAGATAATAAGAATGTTTCAATGACTGCGCTGTATTTTGAATGAAATGGTTCTCCCGTCACTCACTGTGACACAGAGTCCGTCTTCTGCCTGAAAACGCGCCGCGATTGGCGCATGTTCGCCTAGGAATAAACGCCGCGACGCGATTGGCCGACAGCTGTGAAAGGGGTGGGACGGACTGTCAAGATTAGCAAACCGCTGCAGGTAAAAGGAAGGAGCGACAGAAGACAGCCAACATTTATCTTTGCAAGAAAGCGAAGAGTGCGGTGGAAATGTGACTTTTGTTTTCTCCTCACCTCCGTGCGGCACAACTCTAGCGGCGACGGCTTTTAGTTTTTTTGGAGTCGGGACGAGAGCACCAACACCTTCGGCGCCTTGGAAGAAAGTGTCGCTGTGTCAACCATCGTTTGGCTCCCGGGCACGCTTTGTAACAACGAGCAACTTGGACAGCTGCGTGTTTTCCATACAGCTATCGACAAAGAATGAAAGCAGTCAAAAGAGGTGAGCTCTACTCGTCTTTTGCCGTGTCCGTTTCTCGCCAGCGGAGTGTCTGCCTACGAGCCCCTGCGTGGCTTTTCGCTGTTGACTCTGGCTGGTATGCGGGGTTTTTTGTTGCGAGCAAATGCAGCGTGTGTTTGTGTTGAAATTTGGAGGGACAGCTAGCCAGCTAGTTATCTCTGGAGGCAGGCATGGTGTCCATCTGGCGGAGCGACATGCGGGGAGGCTGTGCGTCCCTGCTCGCCTCCTTTTGTGCCTTCCACATGGCTAATTTACCCGTTTTCCCTCCAGGTTGGTCATATTTTATTTTATGCAAGTAGTGAGGGTTTTTGTTTTGTATTTTGAAATGCATCCTAATTTCTCTAACAAAGCGGTCTGTTGTGCATAGCTGGGCGATCTTTTTTTTTTTTCTTTTTACGGTCTCAGCAGCCTGAGGCCGTGACCATGTATTAAACTTTTTTACTTTTTCAAGGCTTTCCAAGGCGACCCCGAGCTCCAGATGCCTACAAAGGTAGAGAGGACATTTTGTAAACACAAGTTGATCAGCGTGATGCTGATGTGACAAGCTGGCCTATCGGAATGAAACCTTACTAAGCCAGCCCTGCACTGAATTGTATTTGCTTGCTGTCAGTAAGATAGTTTGGAGAGTTTTTTTTGTTGTAGATCTTAAAGGGTCCGTGCCGTGAGCCAGTGGAGTTGTAGTATCACGTACGTCACGCCTCTTCGGGGCACTGCAGGGAATGCCTCAAATCTCTGTCAAGCGAGAAGTCCTGTTTTTTGTCAGACCCAGTTTGACCACATTAAGGCTGTTTTTTGAAATATCTATCCTATTCATAGAGTCGGGCTGTCTGAAATGTTTTTATTAATAGTAATAGCTGTTTTATTTCCCTCCTCCCCTTTTTGTTGAATCGGCTCGAGGTGCTTTGCATTGTCAATAGATTCCTGGGCCACTAGCTACTGTGATGTTGATATGGCCACAATGTCTTTGTGAGGACAGGCGCTACCCCCGGGGGTCAGGTTTCACCCAGCCCCACAGAAGGACATTTACTGCATTCACTTGCCCACCCCTGGGATCAGGCATGCTCCATTTTGAGGGGAGATTCCCTCCAGTGCCAACCATAAAAGTCTTTTTTTGCAAGGCACGTGTAGCACAATATCACAAAGCTCTTGTAAATCTGTTTGTTACTATGTAATAGTTAAAAAAAATAGCAGTAAACAAGTACTGTTACTTTCATGTCCTTGATCAAACAGTTGCCTTCCTTTAATGTTTGTTTACCTGGTGTCTGAAGAACTGTGCCTAAACCACACCACACCATGCATGAGCCAGAATAAGTGATGGGTCACATCAGAATCTGAATACTTTATAAGGACTACCTCCTACAAACCAAGTCAGCCAGGGGTGTAAAAGTCAAAGTGACTGACGTCTTGCCTATTTTCTCTCAGCTCTCACAGAGGATACTTGCCCGGAGCGTGAGGAGCACACCTCAGCGGACAGCGATGATGGCTCCCCGCTCGACCTGTCAGGAAGGGGGCTCTCTGGGAAGCGCCGTCGCCGTGGTAACCTGCCCAAGGAGGCGGTGCAGATTCTCAAGAGCTGGCTGTACGAGCACCGCTTCAACGCCTACCCTTCAGAGCAGGAGAAACAAAGTCTGTCGAGCCAAACCAGCCTCACGGTGCTGCAGGTAAGGAGCAGGTTTTCATTTATTGATTTATTCTTTTCACTCGCGAGAGAAACTTGCATCAGAGGCACGACGCTACGTCTGTTAGTACAAACAAGTGTGACGCGTATTTGGCTGATGATGTCTGATGGATTGTGCATGTAAATCTAAAAGCACTTGCTGCTTTAACTGCTCTTTCTGATTGTGAACAAGTGAAAGCAAAACAATAGTTGAATGTTAGTGGAATGTATGCATTGTACTAAAGAGAATAGCATTTTTCCCAGCCTTCCTTTTTTTACTTTGTTGCATCAGTGGTAGACGTTTCCTCTTTCCCTCCCAACACATAGGCATGCACAGACAGGCTGCATTAGATAAGGCATTTGCAGATCAGTATGAGGCTGCAGCAGAGTTTCTTGTTATGTAGTCAGTTCACTGGAATGCCTTTGGCTGGCTTCTCTGTGGCTCAGCATATTTGAACTCAAACCTTCATTGCTGCCAGCTGTATGGGGGCTCTCACGCCTTGTCTTGTCATGTGAGAGGCTGTACCACTAGAGGGAGTGGTGCTTGGGTACAGGTTTAGGTGAAGAAACGTTGCTGTTTGCGTCAGTTGTCTGACACTTCTTTTAGGCTGGTAAGCAGAAAATATTGGTTCTTCTCATACCTGAAATCTACAGTTTTTGTATTTATTTTCCCAGATCTGTAACTGGTTCATCAACGCACGTCGCCGCCTGCTCCCTGACCTGCTTCGCAAGGATGGCAAAGATCCCACCAAGTTCACCATCTCTCGCAAGGTTGTAGGTAGAAATGAGGGCCACTCCTCTCCCAACCCATTGCCGGAGCGCCCATCTGTCATTCATTCTGCCCCTGTTTTCGACCTCGGTGTTCTCGGAAGCACAGCAACAGCTATTCTGACAGGAGCAGGTTACCCTGGTAAGGAAGTGTCAGTCCAGGCACTGATGAAGCTGGATGCACAAAGTCTGCTGATGAAAGTGAAAGAACAGGGGCCTTATTTGGCAAGTCTTGCCAGCAGAAATACAGCAGCTAGCACCACCAATGGCCTCTTCAACACACCTCCACCAACTCCTCCAGATCAATGCGCTCCCCCGGACTTTAGTGCTTTGCGCCTCCTCGCAGATGTAGCTGCGCAGAAAGCTATAGAGCTGGAAAACGAAATGAAGCTGAAGAGCCAGAATAAACCCACAGAGACTGAACAAGCAGAGTCACAGAGCAGCACTTGTAACCGAGAGATAGGCCTCACACCTCCTCCAGAAGACAACCAACAAGTCTTGGATCCTTCCAGGGTGCAGCATCTAATGGAGACAGCTATGACCGTTCCAGCATCAGATGTGCCTTCGGGAAAGGATTCGGTGCCTGCGAGCACAGAAGCATCTCTTCCAGTCCCAGCTCCAGTCTTTTTCTCAGCTCCAGGGATATCACCGCTTCATATGAATAAAGTCATCGTTTGCCACATAGAGCAGGATCCGCCTCAACTTCTTACAGCCCATCTGCCAACCATGATGCCAGTACCTGCCTTAGTCTTAAAACAGCAAGATCCTCACAAACCAGTAGCTGCTCCAGCCTCACCAGCTTTAGCCTTCAGCTCAGTTGCAACTCCGTTGTCCACTACATGTCCTGCAAGTGTGCCGGGCTCAGTGCCATCCCCAGTCCTTCTGCCAGTCACAAATGTATCTTCCGTCTCTGCAAATCAGGAGTTATCCACAAATGTAGCTGTTGTTCCACCCACCAGAGGAATACCACTTCAGCTGCCATGTCCCAGGTCCCCCTCAACTCCAGTTGCAGTAGCATGCCCACTGCCATCTTCAGCTGTCATGTCTTCTGAAGCCCCAGTTACAAGCCCAGCATCAGCCTCTGCCCAGGTTTCAGCCGCTGCCTCAGTTTCGCCCCAGTCCGCATCCATCACACCTCCTCTTGGCCTCAGTTCCCAGCACACCGCCTCCCAGCAGCCCATGTCCCCGAGCAGTACCAGCACAAGTAGCAGTAGTTCACAGAGGAATTCAGCTTCTGTGCCCCGTGTTTGGAGCATGGTCACCAGGCAAAGCCGCTCCCTGGGGAAAACCCCCATTAGTGCCGTGTGGGGCCCACTGCACCCAGTGAGTGAAACTGTCAACTAGGAGCTCTTTTAAAAAAATATATATAGTTGTGTAGACCAAACACTAATTTTAGTATGGACAACACTATATTGGAGAATGTATTATTATTATTATTTTTTTTTTTTATTCATCACCAGTACGTTTTGATATGATTTTTAAACCTGAGCCTGTAGAATGTGCAGCGGGGAATTAGTTAATCAGATGTGCAAACTGGGATGAAGTAAAGTAACCAACATAATGGTACTTATAAAATAGAAAAAGAGATGGGAAAGAGACTGTGTTTATTATGCTGTTTGACAACAGAAAGGGGTTTTCTTAAATCACTTTCATAATGAACATTCCTGTAGCGCAAATGCAAAAAAAATTATTTTATGTTTGTTTGTTTTTTAACCTCTTACCATTTTTACCAGGATGTATTGATCGCCCACTTTTTGGTGTAATTGGCACCACCAGCAAAGTTGGCCTCTTTAGTAGCAGTACTGGATTTTATTGAATGTACAAAAGACACTGACTGCGAAACATCCACTCCCCTCTAGGATAAAAATGAGGGCATGGTTTTGTTTTAATATTCACATCACCATCTTCTTAGTTTAGTGCAATGTGTTTATTTTTTATTATTATTATTATTATTCATTTTTTTGGGATGAGAGAAACTGATTTTTACAGCAGCAAGCTCGGACCCTTTCATAATGTATTCCTGTTGTTTTAGTTAAAAGGGGGAGTGACTTGTTGTGTCAACTTTCTGCGAAGTATATGCTTTTTTTTTTTGCCCCCTTTTTTTTTTTTAGCGTTTTTTTTTTTTTTTTTTTTTTTCCTAGCTTCCACGTCCTTTGGTTCCAGTTTA